ATTGCTACAACTCAGCCTGACACAACAAGTGTGGATTTAACAACTGATGGTCCAACTACAAGCATTGATACAACTCAACCTGACACAACAAGTGCTGATTTAACAACTGATGGTCCAACTACAAGTATTGCTACAACTCAGCCTGACACAACAAGTGTGGATTTAACAACTGATGGTCCAACTACAAGGATTGCTACAACTCGGCCTGTCACAACAAGTGTGGATTTAACAACTGATGGTCCAACTACTACAGACATTGCTACAACTCAGCCGGTCACAACAAGTGTGGATTTAACAACTGATGGTCCAACTACAAACATTGCTACAACTCAGCCGGTCACAACAACCGTGAATTTAACAACTGATGGCCCAACTACAGGTATGTGTTCCATATTATAATTTAGTAACATCTCCTCTCTAAAGGAGAGGTACTTACCCTAGGCTTGCCTCTTCGAAGATGTGGTGAAGGTATTGAAATAGCGCGCGTCTGTGTGTGGTGTGTGTGTGTACTGCCGGGCGTATAGCTCTAACACTACTGGACCGATTTACTTTATTTTCACACATTGACAATGTTACATGTATCTCGGTCCTCAAATATGGTGTTGATCAAAAGTAGGATGAAGATTTTTGAATGTTATTTATGTAGTTTCCAGCTACAATAGCCGACAGAACCAACTCAAGTCGTTTGGCTAGGCCGAGTCGACTCGAGCAGATCGACCGTGTCTCAAATTTTAGCTGGCGGACTGCAAGCAGTCCGGATGGCTTACAAAATCAAAATCGCCTGAGTGATGGGCTTGCCTATTGCCTATGATGCTAGCCTTGTGTGGTGGAAGGAGCTGTCGAGCGAATCCACTATATACATAAATATGGCACAAGAGCTTGAGGGTTGTAATCTCAGGTTATTATTATTATTATTATTATTATTATTATTATTGATCTTGATGTTGGCGCAGCGGTTGACGTTTAGGCTTTCAATCGTAGGTCGGAGTTTTGAGTCTCTGCTGTGCAGATTCGCTTGTGTCCTTGAGCAGCACTTCAGCTACATTGCTTCAGTCCACCCAGCCATACAATACAAATCTTTCTTTGTTCTGGAAAGCTCATTTCAATACAATTGATGTACTGGTTTCCCAAGAGGTCCAGATTAAGTAAAAATAATTTAACAAAATAACAGAAGAAAGAAAAAAAGAGGTAAAAACAATAAAAAATACAATGCACCAAAGAAATGGTTTAAAAAAAAAAAGTTGTTATAATTATTATTATTATTTTATTGTTATTGTTTATTTTTAATAATAATAATAATTCTATATTTATATAAACAATATTTTTATAAAATATATCTTGTTTTATTTTTTAATAATTTATTATTTTAATTACTATATCGCCTCCAAAGGAGGAGGTGAGGGTATTGCAAAGGCGCGCATCTGTCTGTCTGTATGTGTGTGTGTGTGTATCTGTGTGTGTGGTATGTTTGTCCTTCCGGCCACATAAATCAAAAACTACTGTACTGGACCAGTTAACTTCAAAGTTTCAACAGACAATCGTTACAGTTGAAACAAACTCAAAAACTGTTATTACTGTAATAATTGTAAATTTTTGTACTTTGTTTTTTGTTTTTTTTTAATTATTATTATTCGCACTAGCAAACAGTAATCACTCAATGAAAATTTTGAGACTTATCTAAAATTTACCATAAACATGTTACTGTGTGCTTAGTAACCAAACCTAATTACACAAGGTACTACATTTTTAAAATTTAATTTTTAATTGGTTATAAAAAATAATATTTCTTCCTAAATAATATTGTTGATTTTTGATAGTGAAGTATATACTTGTTGTCGCTGATATAAGCTCATCTGGAATACTCTACTCAGAGATTAATCATCAAGAAACGGTTAACTTCACCTTCAATCAGTTGACCATTTCTCCGCCACCTGGAAGTCCTGTAGCTGTCGACTTCAATTCAGACACCAATTATTTTTATTGGTCAGATGTGTCAGAACACAGTATTTGTAGAACTCAGAGGATAGCTTCTACTAAAGAAACAATTGTATCTATTGATGGAATGGGTGAGTTTAAATTGCAATAATCTGGTATTTTATAAATTGATAATTTTGATAACGATAAATATGAGGTGTACCCTATCACGTTAAAAATTAATATCTTATATCTTTCTCTACTTTTAAAACTTTTTGTTAAGTTATCAACTAATTTTTTGATTGATTGTCTGAAATCAGATCAGATGAAATAACTAAGTCCAAATTTTTGATAGTAGAATCGTGCCTATTGAGAAATACAAATAATATGTTAGTATTTCAATTTTAGGTTGGATCCAGGGTAATAAAATACACAAATCACATTTTTTTACAGGTATCATGCAGCGCAGTGGCGTAATGCCTATGTGATCTCATGCGGCGCTCCGGGGCCCCCCTCTCGGCCCGGGACCCCACCAAATTTGTCCAAAAAAAAAATGAAAATGGAGATAAAAAGAAAATTATATACACAATTTTAAGTCTATGAGTGCCATTTTCTGGCCATCTAGCCGTGCCATAATAATACATTTTCTTTACTCAGTCACACAAGGGCAACAGCATAATGTGTGTCTGAAATTGACTGTAGGACATATATAATATCCAGCGGTGGAATAAAGAGTGAGGATGGGGGAGGGGGGTGTTGTCGGCCTGGAGCTGCTGGCCCGGGGCCCCACTAAATTTTTCAAAATATTTTTTAACTGGAGAAAAATATTTTCACAATTTTATGTCTGTGAAGTGCCATTTCTGGCAATATAAAGGTGCCATATTCATAAATTTTCTTACTATACCTCAGCCCCAACCATGGCGGGTCTGAAGTGGTATAGATGTAACTGTGAAAGTCCCTCCCTGGCCTCAATTTTTTGGATCCATATTAGTCAGAACACAGTATTTGTAGAACTCAGAGGATAGCTTCTACTAAAGAAACAATTGTATCTATTGATGGAATGGGTGAGTTTAAATTGCAATAATCTGGTATTTTATAAATTGATAATTTTGATAACGATAAATATGAGGTGTACCCTATCACGTTAAAAATTAATATCTTATATCTTTCTCTACTTTTAAAACTTTTTGTTAAGTTATCAACTAATTTTTTGATTGATTGTCTGAAATCAGATCAGATGAAATAACTAAGTCCAAATTTTTGATAGTAGAATCGTGCCTATTGAGAAATACAAATAATATGTTAGTATTTCAATTTTAGGTTGGATCCAGGGTAATAAAATACACAAATCACATTTTTTTACAGGTATCATGCAGCGCAGTGGCGTAATGCCTATGTGATCTCATGCGGCGCTCCGGGGCCCCCCTCTCGGCCCGGGACCCCACCAAATTTGTCCAAAAAAAAAATGAAAATGGAGATAAAAAGAAAATTATATACACAATTTTAAGTCTATGAGTGCCATTTTCTGGCCATCTAGTCGTGCCATAATAATACATTTTCTTTACTCAGTCACACAAGGGCAACAGCATAATGTGTGTCTAAAATTTTCTTTTATTTTCTTCAGTTTGTCTTTACCACAGCCTCTTGGATCCGCCCATGAATTTACAGTAGGCCTATCTTTTTAATAATTGACTATTCGTGTTTATTTGTTTTCAGTGGTTGAAGGACTTGCCATTGATAGGATTGGTGAAAAGCTTTATTGGACTGATTCTGGTTCTAAAAGTATTGTGAGGACCAATTTAAATGGAACTGGAGAAGTTCAATTAATTACTCAAGATATATTTAAACCTAGAGCAATAGTGCTGGATGTTACAAAAGGGTATGCTAAACATAAATACCACACGAGATATTTGACTGTTCTAGTCAGTTTATGTACATTATAGTTCCATCAAAATGCATGCCATCTGACCATAAATACTTGAGTAGGCCTAACCATTCGATTAATCTATCATTCAATTCGTCACCGTTTTCACAAAGTGACACAAACTTCAAAAATCATATTTTTTCAATTTTTTTTTCTTTGACATTTTGATTATGTACATCGAACTTTACCTTTTCATCTAATTTTTAAGAGTGGAACTACACTAATTAGCTAATTATGTGAGTGCCACTGATTCAAAAGCGATTTCTAATAAATATTAAATATCAAATATCCTGATTACAATTCATAAGCATATTTATAGATAGATTTATTGTAACCTTTGAGTTTAAATTCTATATTTTAGTCATATGTATTGGACGGACTGGGATGCACTAAAAATTGAAAGAGCAAATATGGAAGATGGAAATAACAGGACTACTTTGGTTGATTCAGGTCTACAGTTACCAAATGGTCTAGCACTTGATCTTCCTGGTGAGTCAATTAACAATAGAAGTAATCAGGATATTTGCTTCTCACATAATGGAACAATGTTTTTATTCTAATTTGTATTCTAAAGTGACCTCTATTTGTTGCAGGGACAGAAATGATATAATTGAAAATTATGGTATGACACATGGTATCAACATTAAATTATACTATAACACATCAAAGCATGGGCTTAGCCAGCCAGTGAGTCGTCCGGCCGTCTTTTGGACAGCCTACAATTATTTAGGACGGCCACTTTTACTGTGACGGCTTGGACATCTTGGCCTAATCAGCTCGGCGTAGCCTAATTGGGCCTGGTCTACCTTTAGCAAATTCTTTATATTCTTCAAATCTTTATATTCTTCAAATCTATCGACTGTTACATTCTTATTAATAGGTCCATGATTAAAATAAACCTAAATCATATTTACGTTTGATAAAAACAACATTTATTGATTGAATGTACGTTGTTGTCGTACCAATATTCGGTGGGGATTCCCAAAGATGGGCGTAGCCCGTCCATTGGCCTAGTGCCATGCCCACTGGCTTCCATTTTCGACAGCCTACTTCCTTTTTCTGGATAAACCCCTGCATCAAAGGCATCAGCATTAAATAATGATCAAATTTTGATAATTATTTTACTGAACAAAAACCAGAATTTTTCTATGTTAATTGTTTAGTATTTGTTGGATGCGACCCCACATTATTGCATCACTGCAAAATGGTTGCGATTTTATCTCTAAACTGTACTATGACATATGCATATTTTGTATAAACAAACAGGTAAACGATATGCCTATATATAACTTGATTATATTTTAGTTTAATATCGTTTTCCTCTTTTTATTTATTTTTGGTCCCATTTCACTGATTAAAAATATTAAATACATGTGAATTAATTGAAAGAAATATTACATACATATTTTTTTTCCAATAGTAAACAGACTATACTGGTGTGATGCAGGAGATTTCGGTCGGATAGAATATTCAGATTTATTTGGAGAACAACGTACTCTACTTTTAGCAGGCTCGAATAATTACGATTTACATCCATTTGCTATTCGTGTTTTTAAATCTTATGTTTATTGGACTGACTGGGATCAGGATCATATATTGCGTGCAAATAAACTCACTGGAAGCAACATTACTGAAATTGGTGAAACTTTAAATGAACCTGCAGGATTGTATATTCATGAATGTGAGTTGATTATCATGCAAACAGTTGTAGGCACCTAATATTTTTTTATTTCGATGGCTTTATATTGGTAATGGTTGATGTGATATAACAGGCAATCTCATCTCAACACCAGTAAAACATATACAAATACTACGTTTTTGTACCAATCCATGTTTACTCTGGGAAAGGTGCGGCCACACACGCCAACTAACATAGCGAATGATAAATTTGGTTGACGCGAGTTGTTGGTGCCTCCAACCATGAAGGAAATATAATAAATTAAGAAATTATTATTATATTAATTAATTATTTCCTCCATACTGGAACTGTGGCTTTGGAAATGCTCCTGCTGAACCTGGGGTAAAGGTTGAATAACAAAAATTTCCCCATCCTCTGCCAGCAGAACACCTACGTTTGCACTCCCTCTCTCGCCGTTAAAATTCCATAAGTCATAAGAATTGCAGGCAAACTCATCAGAAACATAAGATTGTATGGTATCCCATCCATGCTTATCGGGCGATTTTAATAAAAAATTTTTTACCCTGTTGAAATCCTGCATTTATTTGGGGTCCTGAGGAGGCCGGCTTTACCCACCCGAACCAGAAACCAAAGCAGATTTCACTTCTCGATTGATTTTAACATTAATTAATCTTTGGACACTCAGAATGAGTAATAGCGCAGAAAGTTCCAACACAACAGGCCAACACATCTCCAATAGGCAAAGTATGATCGAAGTCATTAGAAACCTGGTGTCTTTTTGTATGGTTCAGTGACCGGTGGAAGGCCACTGAAGCTGGTGATGTTTGTTTTCTAGATGCTCAGAAATGCATTACCATTTACAGATATGTGTTGGGCCGGCCATAATGACTAAGTATTTCAACAAGCACTAAAACTGTGTGGAAGGGGGATGAGAAACTGTAACAACGCAGTTAGAGATTAAAGGGTTTTTTTTAGAAAGTTGAAATTAGAGTTTTAATCCTGTTTCATCAAAGTGTTTTTTTTAAATATTTTATCATAATAGATTGTACAGTATGTCTTTATGGTAATTATACAGAATAGGTTAAGTATAATCTTGAGAGACAGCCAAAAATTGCACAATTATTACCCTCACCTCTCCGAAGGATTAGTGAAGGCTATTACAATAGCGTGTCTGTGTGTGTCTGTTTGTATGTGTCTTTCCGGGCCCATAACTAAAAAACGTCTGGACCGATTCATCCCAAACTTTTACACATTGACAATATTACATGTGTATTGGTCCTCCTCGAATTTGGTAATGATTGGAAGTAAGATGCAGATTAGAATGTTATTTATATTCATATTTCATTTGGCAACCGACAGAAGGATCTAAAACATACTGTTGTAGATTTCTCTGCCAGCTGGTAAGAAGCAGGAACGTACCATTATTGTGCAGGTCTGGGATAGCCGGATTCAGGCTGGCTAGGAAAAGTGCGTCGTAAAATATGAATGACCGTTATAGCCTAAATTGTAAAATTGTTAAACTAGTACAGTAATACTTCTAATAATAATATTTAAGACTCAAACAAAGTATAAAAACCATAAAATGAGCAAGTCTAAATGATGACTAAGGGCCCGTTCAAGCAAAAAACGGCAACCGTATTCCGTTTATTTCACCGGGTGGTCGACCGTTCAAGCAAGTTTTAGCTCACGGTAAATACGTGTAACGAAAAAACTACTCCGGAAGTAAATTTCAACTTATCCAATGGTCAACAACCCATTCTTTGTATAATTGCTACCTCCATGCTAAAACCGGCTCGCGTACACACAGCGCCGCACGGTGGAACGATAATGTAGCTCAATAACTTATAATGGCTGCTTTAAAATCTGTACGTAGGCTAGTTTATTCATGTTTATTTCTCCGAATAATGGTAAATCTACAAATCGTTCGCATAGATATGCTACTAAATTTAGATTTCGTCGTGCATGTGTGAGGAGGCGAAGGAGAGCTGCAACCACGCCTGGGCCATAACCTATTGAATTTCGCGCTGGGCTGTGGACAAAACATTTTGAAAAACAATTAAGGTTGATTTATCATCGCCTCCGGCTCCATGGTCATTCCATACACGGTATTCTACCCAGCAATTTGGTGGTCAAAATTGTTGCGGATAATCCAGATGGTAAGGTAATTAGACTAGTGTCCGAGCAGTTTTAGAAAGTGTGTACCGGTGAATTAACTGGTAAATCGCACGGATATTTTTTCGCTCGAACGGGGCCCTAAGGCTTCTTAAGGTCACTTCACTGCAGTGAATATGAGCCGATTAAATTTTAGTGTTTCGTTGTTTGGTTGATGGTTGTATTGTTTTCTATATGGGGGTGGGGTGGGGTGGTTATGATAAATTACTAACTGGGAAAATTATTACCTATGCCCCCCCCCCCCAACCCAAGATCCCTGTTACGCGCCTGTGTGAATTAGGTTAGTTTTCAATTTTAATTACAAATTCGAAAAGGTTAAGTTTAACAATAAAAAGTAATGATTAAATTGGCCTAACTGTCGAAAACATATCTGTCCTAAGATTTCACAAAAGAAACCTTTACACTCATTTCAAAATAAAAATAGGGTATTCTGCTTTAGAAATACAAAATACTAACAAAATACTAGGCCTGAATCCAAACCAATCCAATTAAAAAACTAATCTGATTGTATACTGTCCAACTACAGACATTGCCACAACGGAGTCCGACAAAACAAGTGTATATTTAACAACTGATGATCCCACTACGACAGACATTGCTACAACTCAGCCTGACACAACAAGTGCTGATTTAACAAATGATGGTCCAACTACAAGCATTGCTACAACTCAGCCTGACACAACAAGTGTGGATTTAACAACTGATGGTCCAACTACAAGCATTGCTACAACTCAGCCTGACACAACAAGTGCTGATTTAACAACTGATGATCCAACTACAAGGATTGCTACAACTCAGCCTGACACAACAAGTGTGGATTTAACAACTGATGATCCAACTACAAGCATTGCTACAACTCAGCCTGACACAACAAGTGCTGATTTAACAACTGACGGTCCAACTACAAACATTGCTACAACTCAGCCTGACACAACAAGTGCTGATTTAACAACTGATGGTCCAACTACAAGCACTGCTACAACTCAACCTGACACAACAAGTGTGGATTTAACAACTGATGGCCCAACTACAGCACAGTCTAGCACAAAAAGTGTAGAATTAACAACTGAAAATCCAACTACAAGCATTGCTACAACTGAGTATGGCTCTACAGGTGTTACTGTATCTCAGTTTACAAGAACAGGTAACCTAAATATTTTATATTCTTGCTACTACTTGAGCACAATATGTGCACCACCCAACATTACCTCACTGCAAATAGGCCTGTCACTTGTAATAAATGGTAGGCCTACTGTGAATTTAACACAGATATTTTTTAAAGACTATATTACCATTGAGAATGCAATTTCTTCATGATCTTAGGCAGTTGATATCAAACCTAGAAAGAGACATACTGTCCACTGTCTTATAGATGTCTACCGTAAACTTATGAGAGCCTCTAAGAGATCGCACAGCACCAGTGGACCGATTTCTCAAAGGCTATTGATATGGTGGATCACAATGTTGCCTTTGAGAAACTACTTAATTTGGGGATCTCGCCAGCAATTATCCAATGGGTGGCTAGTTTTACATCTTTTTACACCACATACATACATATTGCAAATACAATCCTACAAAAGACACTTTTTCAGATAATTACTGATATGTGTCCTCACAAAATGTGTCTGATGTAAAAAAATCTAGAGCGTACTCTAGAGGCAGTATTATAATGAAGTGACATAATATAGAATCAATTTAGCACTATATAATTAGTAGAAACAATTCTGGAAAATAAGAACACTGATAAAAGTCTTATCAGGTATAGCCGGCCTATCAACATAAAAGTTCCTTATCAATTGTTTCTTCTATATTATGGTACCGACAACCTCAAAAATACGCTCTATTATCTTTTCTTTTTTTTCCCTTTTCTTTTATTGTTTATTCTGGGGGACTGCTCACGGATAAAATCCCTGGTCCTCCGCAGATCCCAGCAAAGAAAATAACAAATGAGGAACATTTCATAAAACAAAAAACATAAAAACACAAAAAGCTGTACTACCTATTTTTTTTTTTTTTTTTAGAAAAAATCTCAAAATACCATCTTTAAAAACATTGTTCTTTCACCTCACTTTTATATATGTTTTTATACAGTATATATGTTTTTTATATGTTTAAATTTACTATTCGTTTATTTCCTGTAGCACCAGTGTTTTCAGTCACACCATTGTCAATAAAGGCTGAACTTTATGATACAGTGAACCTTACTTGCAACGTGCTCTATTCGAATGACTGGCAGTGGTGTAAAGACAATGTCTCAATTTCATATACAAAGAACCAATTCTTAATAACAGTTACAATAACAGTAGAAAATCAAGGTTATTACACTTGTTGCGGATTCGGAGCAGATAGTAGTGTTTATTCAAACAGGGTTCCATTAATTGTGAAAGGTAGCGTTTCCATACATTACTTTTCCACTACCAAGGCTGTGTACCTTAACATGTCTGTAGTATATAACATCTATCATTGGAAAAGAATTATTTTAGTTATTATTATAACTATTATTAGCAAGCCAGTATAAGATAAATATGGTATAGTTTGTAAGTACGATTGACTTCAGACTTGGTAGAATGCAAGCTAAGACCATGCTAAGATGGAGCCTAGTGGTTTTGGTACGTGTGTGCATATGCTAACTGCTCATCTGCATAATTGATAATTCACTAATCTGGTAAGTAACTTGCCATGCTAACTAAAGTTTGGTAAGTCTGATTGGCTTTAAACTTTACACAATGCAAGATAATAATGCTACGGAGTCTAGTGGTTTGTTTTTTGTTCATGATTTTTTGATCATGTTTTTTTCGTTGTTGCTGTTGTAGTACGTTGTTTGTTACTACAATAACTAATGTTCAGTAAGTCTGAGAAAAATTACCCCGTGGTTAGGCTATGCTTATGTCAATTAATTTAATTTTAAATAAATAATATTATGGTTCGTTGTTTAATGACCTAACCAGCTTTGCCTATATATTGTGTGAGAGATAGCGTATACTAAATGCATTTATGTTTTCAGTGGTGTTTCACTATTTCGTCATTAGAAATATATAGTATGAAAATAATTTTTGTCATGGTTTTTATTCTTTTTCAATTCTGACCTACTCAGGTACTTCAATTTTTTCTGTGTCTTTGACGTTTGACCGTCCCTTTGAGGTAAATTTTAACGATCCATCTTCGACAGAGTTCAAACAGCTATCTTCCAATATCTCAGATTTTGTAAGTACAACCAAATGTCTTCTGAACAACACAATATTTCATCTAATATATAAAATACTCAAGTTAAAGCCTGTCTCTTATACACATCTAGATGTGTATAAGAGATGTGTGTATATACTGTATACTGTACTTCAGTGTGTACTGAACATACAACAGATCCTGCATAGTACTTTGACATATATATTAGTATCATAAAAAAGGTGTGAAGTTAGATAACTAATACCTTATGTGTGATCAGATAGCTAATAGAAATAGTTTGGCTTACTAACAAATATACATTATTGGTTGATCGCTTGATATACTGTACTTAAAAACAGTGGATTAAAATATACAGTTGCTGACCCATCAAAATTATTAAAATAATAAACATAATAAAGATGATAATAGCAATAATAAAAATAATTTAATACATAGTAATAGAAATGATATAATGGTAAATCAAGGTAAATAAAAGGCGCACTTAATAAAATGACCAGAAATGTGTCATAATATTGACGGCTATTTTTTAACCTATTGTATGCAATATAGTAATTGAAATAATATAATGGTAAACAATGGTAATCAAAAAGAGCGCGCTTAATAAAGAAATATAATACACCAGAAATATGTCTCGCGTGACATGATGTTCTGAGCTGTAAGCCTAGTTAAGATGCATGTACAAAGGAGTAATCGCTGACAAAGCATAGGTCTTTATTCAGCCCCTTTACATGCGATTTAAGATAAAAGATCCAACGTATTTCAGCACATCGTTTTCCTTTAAAAAGATCTGTAGTTGGACCCTATGATGATGAACCTTAAATCTTTGATAGAATGGCCTGTAGAATTAAAGTGTTCACTAAAGCCGGAAACTTACTACGTCGTACAATGGTCATACGACCATCACACGACAAATCCACATTTGCTTCCAGCGAGCGATAGACGCATGGCAATTATATATATATATATAATCAAAGAGAAGTTGGTGCAAATCATCAGGATATTTCTAATGAACGGATGAAACCTATGTTGGACTTACTGAACACACCTTTAAAACCAGATTCAATGGACACAACAGCAATTTTAGAAATAAAACTCAGAAAAATGCCACAACTCTAAGTCAATATATATGGACACTAAAAGATAAGTCTATGTTGTATTCCATAAAGTGGAGAATCCTAGCCAAATGTAAACCTTACTCCACAGCTACTAAGAAATGTAATTTATGCATAATAGTAAAATATTTCATAATTTGTAAGCCAAACTTAAGTCCTCTTAACCACAGAAATGAACTAGCCAGTTCATGTAGGCAAAGAAAGAAACATTTGCTATGCAACAACTAACTTAAACAATAGGCTACTAAGGACCATTTATCTATGCACCATGGTAATTAACATATATTCGCTGTTAGTTTAATAAACAACTTGGTATGCTTATTATGTATTTACGCCTGATGAGTGTGGGTAGCTTTTAGCTACTCATACGAAACAAGTTTGTAGCTAAGAAATACAGAGGGAATCGTTTGAAGTTTGTGCACATTGTGTTGCCCTCTGCGACCGACCCAAATTTTCCAAAAAATCGGGTTGCTCTGTTAAATTTATTTCAATATACACTTGGTTAGTATTTATTCCGTCACTACTTTGACTATTTTTTGTTTGGAAAGCTTTCCATCCTTCTGTTGTGGTTCCTACGAGCCCTTAGGCCTAGGGTCTTCCTTAATAAGGACTGCAGTTTCAGGCCTAACCTATTTCAGGTATTAGTCAAAAAAAAAAAAAAAAATCCGATCTCGATTATTTTCTATTTTGGTAAGAACTCCTCTTCATGTTTAGACCACATTTTATGCAACTCGCCAGATAAAATTGCTAATTTCGGTGTTAATAATACCGGAATTAGTGATCACATGCTCACATTTTCTACTCGTAAATCTCGTACAGTAAAATACACTTCTCATAAAACCATTTACTCACGATCTTTAAAACGTTATAACAGAGATCCCAAGTTTGAAAACCAAAAAATAGGGAGATTTTTTTCATGAAGCGATCGCCTCCTGTAGCGACGCGCTGTGACGCCTTACAACGCGCTGTGCAACATGAAAGTATTACACAAAATGAAGAAAACAAACAATTTTCATCAATTTGTTTACTTTTAATTAACAATTTTACATTTGTTTACACATTGCAGTTGGCCTAAAATATAAATTTATAAATATTATTATTTATTTAGCATTTAGCTAGTAAAGCGTTCTTGGCAGCAGTCAACAAGGCTTTGCTTGGTTCATTGGCATGTTAGAAGCTACGGCTGATTTATTACATCTCATCAAAGAACATAGAATTCTAGCAAGGTAACTGCAACTTGCAAGATTCACACGTTTGCTGAAAAATCAAAAATATATATATATTTTAATTTAGTATAGTAA